TGCAGGTTGCTCTTTGCTTTCTACCTATCTAAGCCAGATGCTGTGGGTATCTCTCACTGCTGACAGCCGCTTTCTTCAAAGGCTTGTCCTCAGCCATCCATCCATTAGGATAAAAAATGAGCTCTCGTTCTCCTGCATTTGTTTTGGGAAGAGGGAAATTATTTAAACAACTGCATCTCCATTAAGTGAGGGTGGGGAACGGACCCCTTTTGCTTTCTGAAATGGAGAGAAGTGCTGCTTCACAAAACATCTGCTCCCTGCGCTCCCACCCCCGATCCCAGCTAGCAGCTCACAGTGCCTGCTGAAAGCAGCCTCATTTCGGGGGAGGAGGGGATGATTTCCCCTTCATTCCCTCCCTGAGGAAGACAAAGGGGCAACATCAGCCCTGCTATCTGCCCCAACCTTTTTGCTTTCATCCATCCACCCTTGCGCTTCCCAAGGCCTCCCTTCCCCAAGCTGTACGGTGCACATAGGTGAGAGCACGAGGGGATGGAATCACTGCTTTTCTCTGCCCTCCTCCTTCAGAGGGGTTTCATCCTCAGCCCAAAGCTTGCATGCAGGCAGGGAGAAGAGCTGGCAGAGCATCAGCCCTCCCTTCCATTGCCACCAGCAAGGAGGGCTGCAGAGCTTCCCATAGCAGATGATGGCTGCGCTCCTTTAGGACACGGCCCTTTGAAGCAGCCCCCTTTGCCTTTTTATTTACAATAAACACATCTCTGGCAACGAAACCCTCGCCCACTCGCAGCCTCCCCCTCCCCAAAGCTCATAAAGCTCCAGCTTTGCATATCAGAGTGCTGTTCTGCAGGGTTGGGTCCTGCGGGGGTCCCAGGGTCACGCTGGGGGCAGCGGGGTCATTGTATAGCCATCATGGGTCAATAAGCAACTGGTCAGGCTCTCAATCCACATCAGGCCTTGAAGAGGACTGGGAAATGGGAGAATCCATTCATAATAATAATAAACTTGTCAATCAATAGCAGGGCAGGAGAAATACTTTGTAAAAGGTAAAAAAAAAAAAAAAAAAGGGAGGTTTTCCTTTTCAAGTTTGACAACACGAAATGTTGGGAGGTTTAAAAACGCCGTTTGTCTTTTGGGGTTGGGGGGAACTGCAAGTCAGAATGGTTTTCAGGCAGAGCAACTCCAGGTGAAGGAAGGCAGGTAGGTGTGGGATGTGCTGTGCTGCCTATGTCAGAACTGAGAAGTGATTTTATGTATGCTTGGAATAGATATAGAAATGCTCTTGGAGAGAAATGCTCTTGGATGATCTCATGGAATGGTGGGATGGACACCTCGGGCCCTTCCCTGCTGCAGGGGAAAGTGCAGCACTATGGGGTGGTGAGGAATCCTTTGGTTTAAGCTCATCTCAGCTACAAAAATATATTTTTTTCCAGCATTCTTTTAAGAGCTTTTAAGGCAAACTCACAGTAAATCCGTGTGCAGTGCACAACAAGAGGCTTTCCCTGCCTTCTCCAGGCTGAAATGAAAGGGAAAACAAACCAAGGGGGCAAACAAAGAGGGCAGCACTGAAATTCGCTGGAGGGAAAACGTTCCACGTTTATCCTTGGATGATCTCTTCGTTGCCCACTCGTTTTTGGAAAGCAAAGAACCCCAAAGTTCCATTGTCTGGGGATGCTGCTGTGTGGTTTATCGGGAGAGAAGTAATGCAGAGAGTGTAAAGTAAAGCAATGAGTGACCTCAGAATGGCGAAGGGAGTGCAAGGAAGGGCTGCACTTTCCCTCTTCCTTTCCCTTTCCTGTTTCCCTCACATGCAGCTCCTTCCCAGCAGGGTCAGCCCAAACACATCTGCAGTTTTCTGGAGTTCCTGCTCTGCTTTTGCCTCCCCCCAGTCTGTGATTGCCCCCAGAGCCGTGGCAGAGTCCAACAGTGTAGGGGTGGGAGGTGGGTGTGGGTGTCCTGCTGCATCTTGGGCACCCCCAGGAAAAGGAGGATCCCAGCAGCCCATCACTGCTTCCTGCAGGAACTGCAGCCCAGAGGATAACAGGGAGAAATCTGTCTGAAAGGGAAGAATCACAGCAGGAACCCCAGCTTCTCATCCCCCATCCCTGGGAGCAGGAACTGGGCTGTGATGCCAATGTGTGCCCACTTCCCAGGGCTTGGTGCAGCCCTTGCAACCCCTTGTAGCTTATGGAGCTCATGCAACCCATGCAGCCCATGCAGCTCTTGCAACCCATGCAACCCTTGTAGCTCATGCAACCCATGCAACTCTTGCAACCCGTGCAACCTATGCAGCTCTTACAACCCATGCAGCCCATGCAACCCATGCAGCTCTTGCAACTCTTGTAGCTCGTGCAACCTGTGCAGCTCTTGCAATCCACGCAGCCCATGCAACCCATGAAGCTCTTGCAACCCATGCAGCCCGGTGCAGCCCATGCCATGCACACAGTTCATGACCCCCAGCAGGAGCAGCACAGAGCAGTGGTGGTGCTGGTGAAACACTCAGGAAGCAGCTCACCCCTCCGTGAGCACCCAGCACACCTCCGTGCACCTATGGGGTTTGCAAAGTGCCCGTGCATCTCACACCAAGCTGCATCTGCACGAATCCCCCCCCCGCACACACACACCACCATCCAGATTCCATACTGAACTTTATTCACAATCAAACCACTGCTGCTTTGGGTTCCCATGGATAGAGATTCACAGGGAAACGCCGCAGCTTTCTGAACCCGTTTCCCCCTGCTTTGTGCTCGGGGCTCCCCGTTCCCCCTCTGCAGCCCCACGCACCGTAAGGAGCCGTTTATTGCACCGCCCCAATTTGTGTTTTCTTTACCAGAGCCCCTCATCAAACCCACGGCCGCATCAGCCGCATCGGACGGGGCTGTGAATGCCAGCTCCCCTCCTCCAGTCTGGCACGCAGCAGAGCTCAGCTATAGGTAAAAAAAAATAAAAAATAAAAAAATGGCTCTGATTTGGGCTGGAAACAAAAATAACCGGGATCTCCTTTGGTCTGTGCACGGGGCGGCTGCAGCCCGGCGACGAGCCGGACCCTCAACGGCCGCACAGCTCCGTCCATCGCGATGCAAAACTTCCCCTCCCCTCTGCCCAAACAAAGAGAGAATTTCGTGTTTGTGTTGGAAACGGACCCTTTACTCACAGGAAACTCTCTGCCTGTGGAAAAACGAAGGCGAAACGTACCGCACTCTTACAACCGCAGCTGCAGAATGGGGCATTTTCTCCGCCCGGTGAGGCCGCGGGGTGCGCGCACACGTGTGCTGGGAAGGGAGAAATCCGGCCATCCGTTTGTGCTGCAGAGGAACCCATCTCTCATAGCAGCCAGAAGGTGAACGCAATCAGGTGATCCCCGCTCCCAAATCGCGGCCGACGGCGGAGTTATTTTAAATTTTTTTACACACGTCCTCAGGAATGCGCTTCCTCCTCCTCCTCCTCCTCCTCCTATGGGATTGTTTCTAAATCGGGATCGTTTGCGGTCGATCGTACGCAGAGTTTAACAAATCATTATTATCAAATTACTCCGATTTCGCCATTCGAACCACAAAAAAAGCCGCGGAGGACCGACAGGGACTTTTCATGTGGGAGACAGACGAAGCTCGAGAGGGAGCGGCGTGCAATGCAGAGCTGCAGCCTCCCTTCCCCCAAAAAGGTTTCCGAGGTAACTGCAGCCCCAAAATCAGCCCCGCATTGCAGCTCCTTGCAGGGACCTCCGGATTTGGGGAGGAATAGAGGGGATGGGAGAGCGGAGCTCCGGGCCGGGTAAAGGGCCGCTTTGTGGCTTTGGGGTTTGTTTTCCTCTTGGAGGCAGAATTTTGTCATCCCCTCTTTGGTTTGTAGGGCGGAGAGCGAGCGCCCAACTTTGCGCTGAAGTTCCAGCACGCAAAAGGATTTCTTGATTTTTGTTTTAATTATTATTATTCCTTTTTTCTTTCTTTCTTTCTTTTTTTTTCCTTTTTTTTTTTTTTTTTTTTTTTCTCCCTTTTTTTAAAGGCGAGATAAAGGTGAGATGTGAATAAGGGCCGCGTGAATAGAAAGGGATTTTGAAGGGTCTTTGCGCGGCTTTGCTCTGCTCTGCTGCTGGAGTTACACCCGAACCTCCAGCCCGTGCTCCTTCCAGACCATAAATACAGTAATTGGCAATTAATAAGGGCTCCTCTCCGTGCTGAGGGATGAATGGGAGCGAAGTCAGTCGCTGCGAGCAGCTCGCCGGGAACCCGGAGCTTTCACCGTGCGTTCCAGGGGGACGTTTTGGGAAGGGCTGCGTTATCCGAAAGGGCCGAAATTCCCCCTCCTCCCCCCCTTTAGGGCTGAAACAAAACGCCCGGAGAGCTGAGCTCGGATACGAGACTCCTGATGAGATTTTTTAAAAATGAATTCAATTTAATTTTTTTTTTTTAATTTTTTTTTTTAATTTTATTTTTTTAATAGAGAAAAAGCGCGGTGCCCATTGTGTGCGCGGGGCCGTGCGTGTGAAATGTTGGGGTTGGTGACATCACGGCGCGCCGGGACCCAATCAGCCTTCGGGCCGCGGGGGGTCCGACAGCTCCGGGACGAACCGAACGCGAAGCGCGGAGCCCGGAGAGGCGGCAGCGATCGGAGCGGATCCCCCCCCCTCCCTTCCAACCCCCTCCCCGACCCTCCGAGCAGCTTTGTGCGCTCCGATACCTCAGTGGCTGTGAGCGGCGGAGGGCTCTGTGCTTGTTGATCCCCCCCCTCCGCACACACACACGCACACACACCCCCTCTCCCGCCCCCCTCCCGCCCCCCAGAGGGATTATTTTGGGAGTGGAAGGTGGGCTGGGACCTGGCTGGGGGAGCTGCAGGACTCGAAATGTTTGACTTCTTTTTTTTTCCTTCTTTTTTTCATGCTGGGGAGGGGGAAGAAGAGAAGTGCGGCTCCAGTGCGGGAGGAGCGGGGTGTTGGGAAGATGTTGCACACCGTTGACTGGAACGTTTGAAGGGGCGATCGACTGCTTCGGCTTCCCCCCCCCACACACCCTTTTTTTTTTTTTCCTATTTTTTTTCCCCTGCTCCCTCCCCCACCTCTCCGGAGGGGCAGCGATGTGTGATCACGGAGTGGAAACAAATATGTCCTTACTTTCAATGCCCCCTTTGAAAGAGACAAAGTAAACGCTCCTTGCAAAATGTTCCTGACCTGCGAAGGGACCTTCGGGATTGTTCCAGCCACCATGGATTACAATGGGGAAGCCGGGCCGGGGCATTTCCACGCCGGCTATCAAGAAATCGAAGGGATAAACTTGGGATACTTACAGATCAATGGCACTCAGATGTTCGCTCTGGCCCAGGTCCTCAGCGACCTGTTCAAGGATATCCCCAGGACCACCATCAGCAAGAAAATGGAAACCTTAAAGATCAAGAGCCGCCGCTGCGATCTCCACGAGCTCCGCACCCTCAAAGCCATCAACTCGGTGCCCACCCGCGCCGTGAAGTGCTCGCTCATCTCCAAAGCGGACCTGGAGGCTCTCTGCACCTCCTGCAAGAGCCTCAGCCCCCGGCGGAGGAAGAGGAAAAGGAAAAGCAAGAGGAGGGAGCAGCTGCTCCTGCCGGACCCCGGGGAGCTTTTCTCCTGCCCCCGGCCCCAATTGCTGCCGTCCTGCAGAGCCGGCGGCTGCTGCTCGTCCCCGACCCCCGCCCGCCCCAAGCTGCCCCCCGGCCTCAAGCCGCGCCCGCCGCCCGCAGCTCTCCTCCCGCAGCCCTTCCCTCGGGGCTGCCCCGGCCTCGACAGGGCCCCGCGGGGTCGCAGGGGCTGCGCTCTGCCCGAGAGCGGGGGGCTGCTGGCCGGGGCGCTGGGCGCGTATCCCCGGGACCTGGCGCTGCTTCACCCCGCAGCCCCCGCCCCCCACCCCGGCCTCGGCCCCCGCTGCGCCAAAGGGCTCTTCCAGGCCGAGAAGGGCCCCTCGGGGGGGAGGAAAAGCCGCTCGTCCGCCTTTCCCGGTTGCAAGCGGCAGGGCACCTCGGCCGGGTATTCCAGCGACTCGGACTCCAGCCTGGACTTCGGGGGGTCCAGCCCCGCCACCTCCAGCGACTCGTCTGAGGAAGAGGAGGAGGAGGAAGGGGACACGTCGTGCAGCAGCGAGGAGGGCAGCTCCTCGGAGTCGGAGAGCAGCTCGCTGTGCAGCGGGGACTCGGTGCAAAGCACCCGGTACAGGCAGGCGGCTCTGCCCCGCTTCCAGCCTCAGCCCCCCCGGGAGCCCCTCGGCGACGAGCGGCCGTCGGAGCCCCCCCCGGGTGCGGGCAAAGCGCTGCGTGCAGAGCCCGACCTCCTCTTCCTCTCTCAGCAGCTCTGGGCCAGGACTTTGCGAGCGTCAACTTCGGAAAGTTTGAGCCCGGCTCCGACCCTGGGCTCGGGGGCACAGCCGGAGCCGTACGCGAAGCAGGAGGCCTCCCCTTCTTCCTCCTCCTCTTCCTCCTCCTCCTCTCCCCCTCCCTCCCCGAGCGGCACCCCTGGGGGGGACCCGCCACAAAAGGAGGGCGGCTTTGGGGGCGCGGAGCCCTGCGCCAAAGGAAAGGATTTGCACAAAGATGCCTCGAACAATAGAGCTTCGTTAGGCCCCGGCGACCGAGCGGAGAGGCAGAGCGGTGCCGCAGCCGGGCCGGCGGCTTCCCAAGGGCCGCCCCCGGAGCCCCCGGCCCCATCTCCGGCGCTGGCAGGGGGTCTCGGCCCGGACCCCCCCGGGGAAGCGGCGGAGCCCCGGCGGGAGCACTTCGACCGCCTGATCCGGCAGTCCAAGCTGTGGTGCTACGCCAAAGGCTTCAACGTGGACGGGAAAAGTTTGCGGCACGGAGGGAGGACGGAGCCCTGCAAAGCTGCAGAGCTCAAATCCCCCGGCTCCAAAAGAGCAGAGAGCCCCGGCACCTTGTCAAACAAAGCTTTGAGAGGCAATGGCTCGGAAAGGAATGCCAAGCGCAGACGCCTTGCCAGAGGCGCTGAGGCAGAAAGGCAACAGAGCTCCTCCAAAGGGAGGCCACAAAAGACTCAAAGGAGGAATGCCAAAAAGGGAAACACTCATTGCAAACGCCTCGGCAGCGCCGGGCCAACCCCGCCTCGGAATTCCTTCAGCCTCATGGGCAGCTTCCCGTGTATTCCCTCCTTGGTCGTGGGGGAAGACGGGGATCTGTGCCCTGCCTCCTCCCTGGGGGGCAAAAACTCCTGGGCCCTCTCCAAAACCCACCCGCTGTGGAGATGGCACGTGGGGGGCAACGCCATCCCGGTGCCCCCCAGCCTCAAATTCCGAGGCTATAGCTTGGAGGATCTCTAAGGACAGCGGACGGCCCCGCACGAAAGGTTGCGCGCAGCAGATGCGGGAGGGGAGCGGGACCGGGGGGAGAGGGGGGGCGAGGGAAGGGGGGCCACGGAGCGGGGCTGAGTGGGGGGGGGGGGGGGGAGAAGAGGAGGAGAAGGAGGAGGAGAGCTTCCCGCTGGGGTTGGGGTCGGTTCCGTTGTCCCGGTTGTGTCGGGATCCGGAGTTGGTTTAGCGGAGGTTTAACGCACTCAGAGCCGCCTCCCCTCCCTCCTCTGCACCACGGGGCTTTGGGGGCAGAACGGGGGGGCGGGGGGGGTCCGCAGCATTGCCCCATCAATCCCCCCCCTCCCCCGACCCCAACCGCCGCCCCACCTCTAGATGCCAAAAAGAAAAAGGAAAAAAAAAAAGCTGAAACGAGGAAAGAATAGATCCAATTTCTCCCTTTTCCTCCATAAATGCATTGGATTAAACCCATAATAATCACACGCAGAGAGAACGAATGATGTCACGCAGCAGAAACTCGCGTTTCGGCCCCGCTCCGTCCCGACGAAACCGACGGCGGCGATCCCAAATCGCTGCGTTTATCGCGATCCCAAAATGTTTTCTGTCTGCTGAAGGGACGGGATGAAAACAGCGACTTTAAAAAGAGCAGGAAATGCTGTTTGCTAAAAGAAAAAAACGGGAGGCTTTGAGGGGAAGTTATTTGAGACTGCTGCGTGTGTATTAAAAGGCGAGGCAAGGCAAAGCCGTGGGTTGTTTGCTGGATAACAACCCGCTCCGACAGCCCGAAGGTAGCAGGCCTGTAAAAGCTTTACGGGCACGAAGAAATCGGATCCAGGAGCATTAGCAATAGCGCACAGATGGACAATTTGATCCTTCCCGAGCTCCGGGCTGGAATGCGGGGAAGAATGCGGAGGGAATGCGTCGCCCTGCGCAGAGGAAATCAAACCCCGCTTTAACTTTCCTCGCAAAGCAGCGTCTTTGTGGCGGCCCTTCGCACCGCTGCTCTGTGAAGCCCTCCGTCTCGTTTGGGGGACGCGGAGCGAAGCCGAGATGCGGCTTTACGGGCAGAGGGAGGGGGGTGCGGGAGGGGGGGGGGGTTCCCCTTCTTTTCCATTCGCAGCTCCGGGTCGAGGTTGGAGCTTTTTTGCGCCCCCCCGGCTGGGAGCCCATCGCAAAGCTGTGGGAAGGGGAATGGGAAGGGAAGAGGGAGAGGAAGGGAGAACAGCACGGAACCCCCCGGAGCCGGCACGGCACGGCCCGCTTCTTTCTTTCTTTCTTT